CCACACACATACGCATGCACCCACACCCCCACCCCAGACTCACACCCACACCTACATACGCACGCACACACACACACATATTCTGGCACACGCACACTCCCACTCCCACACACCTACACATCCACCCACCAATTAACACCCACCCACCCACCCACACCCACACATTCTGGCATACGCAAACTCCTACTCCCACACACGTATACATGCACCCACACCCCCACACATGCACACTCCCACACATATTCTGGCACACACACACACAAACCCACCAACACCCCCCCCCCCCTACACACACACACAGAGGCATTCACCTCATAATTTTAATTAATACACCACAATCAAGGTCTAGAAATACAAGCTTTCATTGCAAACTCCTGGCACTGTGGTCTCATCACTGACAATACCCAATGATGATGGTTTTGGAAACTAAAGGAACTGTTCGTGTATGTTTACTTCATAACGTTATTCAGGGCCAAAGCTGTCTCTTTTAGTAACACCTTTAGTCTGAAGACTTTCTAAGGTTGATCCAAGTTTGGGGATGTAAACGCCAAACTACTCTATCATCGTGACTGACATGTTTCTATCATTGTTGTTGACAAAATCATTAAAGGTGTTTACAATTTACTTCAAGATTATCTTTACTCAACTGCATTAGAATTTATGGTGATAGTTGTAGTTGATAATAAGATGTGTATAAGAAAAATCATCACCAACACCACAATTATCAACATTATTGCCTACTTTAATTGCAGGAGTATTTCCAGATAATAGGAAAAATTGTATCATATTTATCATTTCTGTCACAATGATTTAAAAACATCTCATGTTTTCAACTCATTAAATTGCTTATTCAATCCAATCTTTCTTCTATCAAAATAGTAATAACAGTAATACCAAAACAAACAAGTGTCCAAGCAAGTTCCTACACATACTGGTAGTCAATATTTCCATAACATATACAAGCTCCAACACAATGGTTATTGCAGCTTCAAGAACAATAAGCATAATGTTCACAGTAAAAGGGAGGAATATATTTTCTTTTGTATCACTATATATTTTATTGTAATCTTACAAAATCTAACATAGTACCTGTGTAGCTATGAAATCAAATGGAAAAGAATAATGGCAACTAAATTCCTACACAATTACTTAACAATATATGCACACTCTCAAAAAAAGATCATACAAAAATATTGTCCACATACATTTTGGACTTAACCTTCTTTACAACATCATATTCTTTTTTCCAATAAACTTAAAAAGATTTCTGGCAAATTTAATATATTCATTTAAAGCTACTCCTTTTAAATTCTAATTTTTTCCCTTGGAATTCTGAAAGCTTTATCTGATCCAAATTTTGTAATGATCTGAGAGGTTGAAGTTTTTAGACATCCAAAGTCTCTATCTTTGCATCAATAGCCAATAGCTATACTATATTCCCTATCAAAAACATGAGAACACATGAACAAGTTAAATTATGCAACAAAATTACCCCCCAAACTTAGAAACCATTGCATATCTTGGATCCAACTAAATGGATTTATCCAATCAAACAGAACCTGTTCACTGGCTATTCCCCTTAAATGTACATATGATGCTATGTTAGCCCAATGAAATTTCTCAGTACAGATTGTGGGTCATTGTACTAGCAATGACCAACTCCTTGAAGGTAGATATGATACGCGCGTAAAGGCTGTCTTCTTGCGGCACTTTTCTTGGCCTCAACCATGGAATGGTCTCGCAAGCCACATCCTCCTCATAGTCTGGTTTGTCAAGAAATGCTGAAAAAGAGAAAGCAGAATATTTTAGTAATTCTCTCTCTACATTTCATACAAAAAAAAAAAATGTAAGGGGTTCTTAATTCCACAATCATTTTCCACTTAACTCACTCATTTCCCAAGAGTTATATATATTATAATTTCTACCTGCAAGAAATATGTATATATTCAAACCCATGCCTGATAGTTACAAATAAAAAAAAGCAATTATTCCTTTACCTATTGAATGTGGTGATGGTGCAGTAGACAGGGCAGAATGTGCTGCACCAACCCGTCCGTACATCACCAGTAAGTGGAGCAAATCATCGATGAGGGAGGGGAAGGCTCGGCCAATACGCACCAAAGATGGCAACGAGGCTTCCATGATGGATAGTCTTTCTTCCTCTCCCAGAACTGTTAACATTTTGGGATTTTAGAATTGTTTCAGCTCCTCTTTCAAGATAAAATCAAAATGCATAAATGTATTTCTTTAACTAATATTTTGAACACTTGGTCTAAAATTGTAACATCAGGAGAAGGATAACATTTCTGATTGGATAGAAGCTGAATTCAACAGTCATTTAGATTACTGTTGCTTGTTATAGATGCCTCATCAACACCATTTATCGTTCAGTGAAGCTTTGGTTTATCTGAACTGTTTAATGGTATATTTAGAAGAAGAAGAAGAAGAAGAAGAAGAAGAAGAAGAAAAAAAAAAGACACTGATAATACATCTTTACTGTTTTCTACGCATTTCATATCCCATAAATCTTGGCACCACTCTTACCTGACAGAAGAGTAGCTAAAGTATTGATTGCCAGCCTAGAAATACTCAGGGTTGAAGGCATGGCATTCTGGAGGGCCAAGTGGGATGTAAGCTCTACGGCAAACATTTGCTTGTCCAAGTCTGGCAGCTGAAGAAGCTCTGGGATCCAATTGAGGCCAATTGCAATGTGCATGGAGGGAACACCACGCACAACTGGGCCTATGAGTTCTCCAGGGTAACCCTAAAGACAAAGTGTTTAAGAAGTGTACTTGTTAAAGTGTTTGTTTGTTTGTTTTCTGAGGAATACTTCATTAATTACAGCTCCAGAGATATAAAAGTAAAAAAAATTCTTCACACAAATTTAAATGAGACATCCTCTACAATCTTCATCAAAACTCTAAAAAAAATAAGTCAAACCACGGAAACTGCATCAACATGAATAGAAAGAATACAGCTTTCAACCTACCTGAAAGTGCACTAATTTAGCCAGTGTAGTGTCCTTAAGAAACGCTTGATGGATGAAAGAACATGCAACACTTCTTATTTCTTGGAGAGTCAGAGCTCCAGCACCATCCTGGAAAATAGAAGGGAGAAATTTAGACACAGATAACCACTGGTATGAATAACATTTCTTGCAACGACAACTACTCCGATTTAAGTTTTTATCATCATGCAGCATAATAATTCAAAAAATAATCATAAAAATCAAAGCAGTAAGCAAAGGAATTGTATTCTAATCTAAAATTCTATGCAAATAAAGCACTTGTACTGTCTAACACTGAATAAAGAACAGCAAGCTATGGCAAAAATGGTAGGGAGCTTTGTCATTCAATAGCAAGCATGTCTAGCTTTCATATAGCAGAGATAAAACAAACAGTCTGCCGTGCATTTATGATATACTGAAACCATTTCCTATACAATTACCATTATATGATTGGCATTCCATTCTATTCTACAGAGTAGCTATGTGCAAAACATGCCATTTCTAATACAGCAGACAATCCAAAACACAAGCAAGAGATAGGGATAGTCAAGAAGTTGCACAAACTCATTTTTTCAAAACAAAGAACAGAAGTGAAGTTACACATACTCCTTAGTCCTTGTACTCCTTCCATGGCAACACAATACAACTGGGGATGTAATAAAACCCTTCACCATAATCAACAACTTTAAAAAATTCAATCACTTACTGTAAGGGTGCCCACCTTCTCATCACTGTTCATGAGACAGGCCTCCAGCAGGATTTGTACCGCAGCACTTTCCTGTGTGAGCACGAGAGCTCCCCGGAGCTTTTCCCTCTCCTCCTCAAGAGCCTGTGGTGGGGTGGTGGTATTTCCCCCCACAGGAGTGTGTGGAGTGTTCACTAGGGGTGTGTTTTGCATTTGCTGAGAGAGGAATGTACGGGAAGACAGGAGATACACCTGAAGCATGTATATAACCAACTGCAGGAGAGGGGCACACCTGTTGACATTAATAAGATTTTTAAAAATGCATTAGCAATTTTTTTGACACAGAAGGAAAATAATTAATAGATATATTCATAAAATATATGATGACTTTGAACAAGAAAACCTTGTTTCTTTGCACACAAAATATTAAGAAAATACCGTTTGGTATGATAAAAAATTAAACTCACCTATTAACTCTCGGATCACATCGAAGCACATACAGAGGATCCAGAATGATGTCATCCTCTGTAAGTGCCTTTCTCAACTTGCTCTGAGGCTGCTCCGGCTGTAGTCCCTCAACGGACATGGCCCAGAGACGACGAGGAAAGAGTGAGTTTAGCCTCATCCAAACTTGCCGGTACGTGTCTGAAATAGGTATAATTTTTGTTACAGCAAATAATAGAAGGAAATGGAGATGAAAAATAAATTTCCAAGGATAATGCAAATAGATAAATAATCTTTTAAATATACATATAAAAACTGATAATACTTCAAAGCAATAATTTTTTTCAATCTGAACATAGGAAATGAACACATGCAGCTTCTGCAAAATATAAATGAGCTATAATCATGCAGTAAAATCTTTATGAATAAGCAAAAGAAATTAAATTTAAAGTAAGTCATTGACCAACCTAGGACTTTCCGAGGCACTCCAGGTTGCAAGAGGCACTTAATAGAGGCAGTGATAGGGGCAGCCAGAGGCCACACTTGGTGAGGAGGCATGCGCATCAGACGGTCCAACACGATGAGGAGCCTTCCAGGTTTGTCGGCAGCGTCTTCCATGGCTGTAGACATATTTGTGTGATGTATTATACTTCTCTCTGACATGGGAGTACAGTTCAATAAAACATATTTGGTAAATCAGACACATTACTAAGAAGGACACAGAAAGACATTCATGAAGAAAAGAAAAAAAAGGTCAATTCGTCTTCCCACTGAAACAGCAAATAATACATCACCTTTCGTTACAGACTGAGGATCAAGAGGCACTGGAGGTGGCAAAGATCCCCAGGCTGGAGTTAGCTGATGGACTCTGATAAAGCCAGTCTTCCACCAGGCACAGCTGAGGATAATGGCTCACAAGCAGTTTTCACCAAAGGCGAGAAATAGACCTGAGGAATGGGAAATGCAGGAGTGAGAATAAATTTATAGTGTGATGAGTATTTCCAGGGTAAATGTTTGATGTCATTACACATTACCATATTTCTGTTTCTGAAGAATTATTTACATTATGATTTTATTTTCAATTTATGAGCTTCACTTTCATCTATGTAAATATATGTTTCTGAAATCAAAACTTGAACATAACAATGACCATGTTAACGTAATCTTAAAGTAAAACCAGAAATAATAATATACATAAACAAACCTGCATATAGCCTCTGTTCCTTCTGAGCATGTGAAAGCAGGTATCTTATGGGTAACTGAGCAAACAGATGCGGAGAGTAAGAATGGATACGCCGACTGTTTGCCAGTAGCTGGAGTGTATTGTTCAGCCGTACATCCTCATACAGCAGCAAGTAATACAACAGCAGCAACTGTGATGTCATCACTGATGTCACATTTACACTGCAAAGCATTGTACATTTTCATCAGCATCTTTATCCATAGTCAAGTAGATAATCTCTCACTAGAATGTTTTTCTTAACTCTAATCTTCTGGATCTCATCTACTTTAAGGACTATATATAAAACTAATAGCAAAGCAAAAACTACAACCAAAATTTCCCAAATCAAATAACTATGCAACACAATCTAAGCCAGTGTTCTCCAAACATTTTTGCCTATTGTACCCTTCATTACCTTCTATTGTTATGTACCCCCCCCCCCCTTTCACAATGGCTAAACAAACTGTTTTACTTTGGAAAATGCAAATAATATACTGATTATGAAAAGACTGCATTGCAGGAGTGTTGGTAAAAAAATCAAATTTAATACATAAATAAGAAAGATGATTTAATAAAATGCTTGAAAAATACTTAAACAACTTAATGTGAAATGTGAGGCGTGTGTGTTCCTTGTTTGTTCAAGCACCATTACGATCTATGTTGCATACCCCCAGGGGTATGCGGACCCCAGTTTGGACAACACTGATCTAAGCCAATTTTTCTACTGCCATACAACAGTTGAAAAATTTACACACACCTTAATTCCAACACAAAATAACACCAAATATCAAGGTACTATCATATAAGACTATCATTGTTTAATTTGCTGACCTTATGGACTTCCCATCAGTGAAGAAGTACTGGAAGTGTTACTTACACATAATCTGCATCATTATGCTGTATCTCAATAAAATGAACATTAAATATAACTTAGAATGGAAACAAGTCTTTAACAGGCCGTGTCCATTAACACACTGTTGCCAAGTAACCCCACGATATGATCTCACCTGATTTCTCTTTTCCTTGATATTCATGGATTTTTTTCCTCTCTTTCTTTCTTTTTGTAAAGCTATTAATATCAATGTAATTATTATTATTATTGACAATATGATTATTATAATGTTAGTAACACTATTAATAGTCTTAAAATTTTTTTTAAAAGGATCTCCGAAAATCCAGGAAGATTAAACAGGTGAGATAGGTAGGACTAGTAATTTGAAGTACTTGTAGAGCCATCTATATGTAAAGACAACTGATAAACAAAAAAAACACAATGACCTTGCTATGTATTTTTACCATCCCAGCATCATGGGTTAACGTAGCAATTTGAAAAAATGGAGACTTCAATAATAATCAAGGCTACATCTATCTTTGACAAATTATATTTCCCAAAACAATTCTTACTAGATCCTTGTTCCAATACTGATGGGTAAAATCTTGGGTAAAATTGGAAATATCTAAGTATGCATGAGACCTCATCCTGGCAATCAGGACATAGCTTTGCAATGTGAAAAGACAAGACCTATTATCTGCAATTTGATATCACACCATCACATATCACATCACCCACTACCAGTGGGTTAACATACAGACAAACAGTAATATTCAAAAATCTATTACAGCCACACTCACCCATTACAAGAGGTATTGGAAATCCGGTGATGTGTCCTGACGGAAGGTGAAGGCATAATGTGACCAGCTGAGGCACCTGACATAAATGGAGACTTTTCCCGAAGCAGTGATTTTCTTCTGCTGAGATTTCGGAAGGTGCAGAGGCATGTAAAGTTGTTGGCTTTGAGCTCTGCTATGGGAGGAACACATGTTAAAACTGAGGACATCAGCCAAGTCAAAAAAAGGTAATCTGTAATATATCTCCTAAGATTATAAAGACATGATGATGGGAAATAAGATGACAGAATTAACATTTTCAGTCAAACATTACTTTCAAAATAATACAAATAATCATAATAAAAAAGTCACTTATATTCATATAACTAATCACCTTGGTATGATCAAGATTTACCCACTGTTTAATTTCATTAAGCTATAACTATAACATATCCAAATACCATATACATCTATATTAGTTATCCAACCAAAAAGAGTATCTATTCATACATACATTCACTACTGAAGAAGCTTTTTCAGTAAATATTGATTGCGAAAAAACAGACATAATTTCTTCCTCCGATATTGGCTCGTTAAAGGTATCAGAAAGGCCTCCTTTGCTAGCAGGTAAGATAATGGAATTGACATACACCTCTATTAACTGTGGCATTACTGGATGAAGTGGTGTTACAGATGCACAAATTTGACTGCAAAGGAGAAAAAAGTCATGAATATATTTTTAAGTTACTTGAATTTCACATTCTTAAAAGGTAAACAAGTAAAATAATGATTGCATAACAAGCAAGGATGTGTGTGTGTGTGTGTGTGTGTGTGTGTGTGTGTGTGTGTGTGTGTGTGTGTGTGTGTGTGTGTGTGTGTGTGTGTGGTGTGTGTGTGTGTGTGTGTGTGTGTGTGTGTGTGTGTGTGTGTGTGTGTGTTGTGGTGTGTTTGTTTGTTTGTTTGTGTGTTTGTGGTGTGTGTGTGTGTGTGTGTATATGTGTGTGTGTGTGTGTGGTGTGTGTGTGTGTGTGTGTGTGTGGTGTGTGTGTGTGTGTGTGTGTGTGTGTGTGTGTGTGTGTGTGTGTGTGTGTGTGTGTGTTTGTGTGTGTGTGTGTTTTGTGTGTGTGTGTGTGTGTGTGTGTGTGTGTGTGTGTGTGTGTGTGTGTGGTGTGTGTGGTGTGTGGTGTGTGTGTGTGTGTGTGTGTGTGTGTGTGTGTGTGTGTGTTTGTGTGTGTGTGTGTTTGTGTGTGTGTGTGTTTGTGTGTGTGTGTGTTTGTGTGTGTGTTTGTGTGTGTGTGTGTGTTTGTGTGTGTGTGTGTGTTTGTGTGTGTGTGTGTGTTTGTGTTTGTGTTTGTGTTTGTGTGTTTGTGTGTTGTGTGTGTGTGTGTGTGTGTGTGTGTGTGTGTGTGTGTGTGTGTGTGTGTTGTGTGTGTGTGTGTGTGTGTGTTGTGTGTGTGTGTGTGTGTGGTGTGTGTGTGTGTGTGTGTGTGTGTGTGTGTGTTGTTGTTTGTGTTTGTGTTGTGTTTGTGTTTGTTGTTTTGTGTGCATGTGTGTGTGCCTGTGCCTGTGCGTGTGTGCGCAAGCATGTGTGAGCGTGTGTGACTGTATCTGTGTGTGTGCATGTGCGTGCGTGCGAGTCAGTGTGAGTGCATGTGAGTGTGAGTGTAAGTGAGAGTGTGTGTGGTGAGTGTGAGTGTGAGTGTGAGTGTGAGTGTGAGTGTGAGTGTGAGTGTGAGTGTGAGTGTGAGCGTGAGTGTGAGTGTGTGCGTGTGCATGCGATAATATTTTTAATGTAACAGGTAAATAAACTGAAAGAGAAAAATAAAAGTATTGCAAATTATAAATGATGGATACATTTTTGGTAATTAATGATAAGACTCTTATATACTATAATATGTGGGTACTACAAAAAAAAAGTATTGACAATCAACAGCTGAACTTTAGAGTTAGATGTTCATTTCAGTTTATCCTTCTATGTGTGCATAAATCTTCTGCATCAGGACATTATTCACTGTTACCAATAATCCACAATATTTGTTAGATCCATACATACTTATAGCTTGAAGTTATGTTTATCAAAGGCTGCATCAGTTTCTAAATGCTCCTTTTGTCAAGCAAATGTGACAAGTATAATATTTACAAAACCCACCCTACTACCCACTTATTCACTAAACATTTCTTAGATAATTTACATCCTGCAAATATCATGGAGAGTTATTCATTCTTCTACATCCTGTGAATTCCATGGACAGTCATTCATTCTTGATAAGCTAAACACTTTCCCAAATTTTGAGGTAATCTATCCAGCGTACGCTATTTTGTTCTGCGAAATTCGGTTTGAGATATAGCCATTGTAGGTACATGGATACAGAAGCACGTGGCAGAAAGAAGGCAGGATATCCCCGTTAACCCACAAGCGCCAGTATATTTTGGCTGGCAAGGCCCAATGAAGGGAATTGGAGCGCAAGCCCGATCATCGTCACACCGGGTGTCTCCTATGTGGGACACCCATCGTAAATGGGTTAAGTGACAGTCTATATTCAATAATGACACTCTCTTCCCTCCCTAGATTTCAGGCAATAAGCGTTACATTTCACCAGTGAAGAACACTTGAAAATTAGGTCTAAACCAAGCACAACTGGGCCTCCGAATTATGGGTAAAGGTTGTCCCCTTAGTACATTGTTGCCTTTGTTCCACAGATATCCCAAAGATATTTTTAAAAGTTTGATCATTTTAGCCCATAGGTTTCAAGTAGCACCTTAAGAAATAGTACAATACTTTCACCTTTTTCACATTTTACATGATCAACTAACAATACAAAGAAACAAGATCAGATTCATTAGATTTACTCACTTGTATATCCAATCTTTGATGGGGACTTTATGTTTGGTGAACATTCTGCTCTTGAGTTGATGATACACACAATGAACAGGAAGAAATCCAGGGATATTTGCATTTAACCCTGATGTCACTGGTACTTTGACTGCATGAGCCGTTACAACCTGCAGAAAAGAACAAAATTGTCTTTGTTTTTTATTATATATCCTAAAGGTAATGCTAATTAACAAATGAATAATAAAAATGCATAATCATATTCTGCCTCATTACAATTGGGAGATTTGATTATCTGAAAATAAATCCTGAAATCTATACTACAATAATACAGAATATGCACTGTTTAATGCAATTTGCAATCTTGTATCTGCATAAATTTTCATTCTTACTACTTGGCTGTATCTTTCTGAAGGATAAAGTATATAAAAAGCAATATAAAAACTAATAAATTGCAATGTGTTTCCTGATCTGTCTCATAGTTTGATGACAAATGTTTGAATTTAAAAAACTGGTCTACAAAAGTTTGCAATAAGAGCTAAGTTCCAAAATAAAAGAATCTTATCATAAAAAAAACTATTCAAATAAGCCACCATACAAATGCTTCTTTAGAAAACTTTGAGAAAACATGCAAAGAAGAACAATGTGGCATCAAAAGTGTGAATGAAACATTGTGCAAATAGTGTATCTTGAAAAACAAGTATGTTGGATGGAGAAAGTTTGATAAACATGACATAACAATATGCTAAAGATGCATTTCTTGCCAGGGAAAAACATCCCACCTTTGTTTTCATATCAACTGCCCTCTGTGAGTCTGCAACATTTTTTTTTTCTTTTTATGTTGAAAGAAGGTGGCTTCCATAACCTACAGTACATACTAGTTTAGATGCCTTGATACCAGACCAATATAAGCTGTTGGTAGAGACAATCTAGCAGCAACGCAATGATTATTTCTGATAAAACAGGTAGGAAAATATAAGCTCATCCAGGATTAATCAATTACTTTGCTGGATCTTTCATACAATTTTAGTTGAAGTTAAAAGCACAACAAAATAAACAAGAGCAATGGCACTTAAAATGATACTATACTTGATAGTACCAAGAAATATCTTCAGAACAAGGAATACAAATCTTACCATAATAAACAGTGTCATGTTTTTAAACTGTATTAAAGTGTATTCTAAACCAATATTTCTCATATGTCTTCTGATTTAACAGTTCATAACTTTTGTTATGATTTTTTGTTGGGTCTAAAGAGGCTTTAGTTAGTCAAATGTGGGTGTTAAGAATATAGAAAGTGAGAGTTAAAAGGGTTAAACAAGAAACCCGAATAAGACCAAAAAACAAATATATATTCCTGAAACTCTTCTTGTTTTCAGTGTCTGTGACAAACTGTAGGAAGGTAAGAATGTATACAAGGGGAAAAATTGGGCCTCATCTTTGTTAAGAAAAAATATAGCAAATAGACAAAATGAAGACTGGACAATGGTCCCACAAGACTTTTATCAGCAAGGGAGAAAAGAAAACAGAGAATCAAGACCAATTAAATACAGACAGTGTGGTTATAAAAAAAAGTGAATTAAAAAACATCTACTGAACTAGAACTATCAGAAAAGCACTTTCACAGTCTCCTTGGAAAATGTGCATTTCAAATTTTATCACAATTCTCAAAATGGTATAAACACATATCTATGCCCATAATAATTGTGAAGAATAAACATTAATTGCCTTCCTATATGTTCCACTCTAATACAAAATGATAATAAACACAGCAAATTAATGCTGTATTCTTCCAAACAACCAACACATACAGGTATTATAATCCTCTTGAGCTTCAAATAAATAACCATGAAGTACAAGTATTCTAAACTTCTCTTTCAAAATATTGGTATACATCAGTGGTGGTTATGCTCTTTGAATCCAATGTAACATGATTTTTTTTCTCCCATGATTATTTTTTTTTAACCACAGTTGCAGTACCTTATCAAGTATAAAACTATGTAACATTTATACTATGTTTGATTCTTCATCAGATTAAGTTTCTATATATTTTGAATGAATATAATACATAGTGAAAAAAATATATATGTGTGATTTAATACAGTAAGTTGAGAGAAAGTAAGTGTTTGGGGGTGAAACACAACTAGACTTGAGTGTTAACCTAACCCATGCATTATTCACATTATGTTCATTACTGCATTCCCTTTAAAAAATTGTCCTTCATTACATTCTCGGAAAAAGATATGAATAACTCTTTCTTCATTTCCACCATTACTGAATCACGCATTTAAGAGATATGGTAAATTTCATCTTGCTTAGAGGTCAAGAAGTAAAATGTGCTTTCTGGTGCCTCTCCAAGATCAAATGAGAGCAACATGTGAGGAATGAATGCCACCCAAAGGCCTACCTTCACCCACTGGTACTCCATATTCTGGGTCAGTTAGTTTGAGGTTGGCAATAAAGAAAGCCAATTAGCTCTCACAAGGATATATTTATTAACACAACCTTGAGTTTACAGTTATTCAACTGAACATAATTTCCAAAATAATTTATGATACTCTGTGGTAAGATTTAAAGTTGCCTATCAGAATATGGACAGGCCCATTTGATTTACATGAAGTTGTATCACATCAGCTAGTATACCGCCTTACCTCACATAATATTACAAAACTCATTTCCAGTGAGGTCAACAGAATAATAATGCAATTCATAAAAATAAGTTTTAATGAGAAGAGGACAAGAAAAGTCAAATGGTTGGAGATGAATGAAGGAGAAAGAAAGTTCATTCTACATAAATAAAATCTACAATCTCACCTGCTCTGTAAATACATCATGGGTGAAGATATACTTGATACGGGAGAGGTTATTAGCTCTCGTCAGAACCTTCATTCCAAGAGCTGCACTGACTAATTCTATGATGGCACTCAGCTGTTGTACATGGAAGTGTATAGCCATCAATAACAACATAGCACCAAATGAAGAAGAAACACCACTTGCTCTGTAAATGTGAATCTAAGTTAAAAAAACAGTGTTATTCAGTGTTATCACCACACATATCAAACTAATGAGGACTGTATTTACAGAATCAAACATAACCCAATGGGTAAAAAAAAAAAAAAGAATCTCTTACCCAGCAAAGTATGCCTCCTCTTTTACCAACCACTTGATCCACTCAGATGCTTTCCGCTCATTCTCTTGGGATGAGATGAGTGAGGGACACGCAATAAGCATACAGAGACCTGTGCTGACAAACCTCACACCTGCAGCTGATGGTGGTGGGTGACAAGTGACCAGCTGGAGAAGCAACCCAATCTCTTTGTCTTCACTGAATCTGAAGGCAAAAGAAAATAGGACAAAGTAAATTTTAGCCGCTATCGGAATTTTAATACAAGTGTACCATATAACTTTACGAAAGAGCTAACCAACATGATGATTCTATTGACATTTGTATAAAAAACTTACTTGAGGTTTGCTAAGCTTTTGAGAGCACAATATAGTCTCAGCAGAGCAGTGGCATGAATGACCTGTGAGTCTGGCAGTGTGTCATTGCTATTGAAGAGAAGGAGATTCCTCAGACGCTCGCTCAGATCTGTCCGTAGAGCTGCCAGTGCTGAAGCCTGTTGTTCGTATTTTCTCTGTATGGCGAGAAATAAATTATCATTGTAATATTACTAAAAATAAATCACAGGTGTATAATTCAGAGTGGAAAAGAACTGTTCATAAATAAGATAAAGATGAGATGAGCCCCTGTGAGTTGACTGTGGTAAACTGTTTGGGCATAATATGTAAATTAGCCCTTTAGTTTACATTTTCAGGTGAAAATGAGAATGTCACCAAAAATAGAATAATGATGTAAAAACACTGTAATACTAGACTTCACATACCCTTTGTCCACTTTTAACAAAATGCGCAAACCAAGTACGCTGCTGGTGGTTGTGTGAAAGGAGTAAACCTGTAATGAAGCTGACTGCATCACCGCCTTCGCCTCCATAAACACTGCTTCCAACAGTTCCAGAACTTCCTGCTACACCTGACCCTGCCTTCCCTGCATCTAGGGTTAGATACACAGCCAAGCCTGGCATCCGGCACTGCTCTACCTGTTGACAGAAAATAATAATCATTAAAACACAAATGAGAAAAGTTGGCATAGTGAATGGCTAGAGCAGGTCTAAAAACTGTCAGAAAAGTATAAATAAATTGGAACACTGATTTGGTGAATGAAAAAATGGCTATTGCAAATACTATACAAATATTTTCACCTTTTCAGAACTTCCTTACTACCAGCAATTTCCTTAAAATAAACTGAACTCACACAAAGAGCCCGAACATTAAGTGCCTGACTAGGATTCATTTGGCACAATGTTCGCACAGCCTGGAGGCGCAGCAAACCCCCTGGTGTATCCTCATCCTGCTTGTCACCTGACATCACCAACCCAGTCACAACTGCACAAAAATGAGAAAATCAAAATGTATACTATGAAATAACAAGTACTAAAACTAAATAAGTGAAGGAATTGTTTCACATACCATAACAAAAAATAAAACATTTTATGTTATATTTCTGATTCTGTTGCTGAAATCGCTCTCATTTACTGACCTTCTCTAAAACAGTCAGGTTGATTTGCCACCATTCGGGCAATCAACGTCGGCCCATTGGTGACATGGAGAAGAGCCTCAGCGACTTCTGCTGGAGGAAGCAGTGCAGGTAGTTCAGCAAGGGCAATGCATAGCACATCACTCACTTCTTCAAGGTAGCATGGGTTGTCAAACAGCTCGGATGATTTGTGGTAGAAATCTTGATGGGGATCGCGAATCTTTGGTAGCAATAAAAAAAAAATCATCTTAGTAATAGACATTTAGCATATAATTCCATAGCTTGACAAGTTATAAAATATAAACTTACTTTTTGTAGTAAATATTCAGGAATGGACTACAATGACAGTAAAGAAAAAATCAAGTAATGGCCATATAAAATGCATAATACAATATCATTCAGCATAGTGGTTCCCAAACTTTTTAATTCTGTGGACTCCAACAATACGTAATAATCTCCATGGCCCCATTCAGTGATCTGTCCTCTTTTCAGATTTAGTTATTACTTGTTATGAATAGTGTAATGGTTTCAACAGCTACTGGGCAAGAACACTTTATGGAAGGATTCTAATTCATTAATATAAGATAATTATATTTAGGTTCTATAGGTGAGATAAAATTCTGTTTATTTTGATGTCCTAATTTTCATATAGCTCCATGGCTCCCCAAGAAATTACCCTGTGGCCCTGAGGTTGGGACCCTATTTTGTTTAAAAGATTATCTACAAACAGAGACAGTAAAGCCACAATTACTTATTAAAGTCTATGGCTCTATGCTAATGTCTAGTCCTGTTACATCACTGCCATTACCAATATAAATAATGAGAATAGAGTTTACTGACCTCCCAGGAGCTTATAAATATATGAGGAACTAATTCAAGTGCTAAATTACTGAATATATGTTAGTGTGGTTTGCTGACTTGCCAAAATGCAAAGTACAGAGGTCACATTGTTGCTTCATGTGGTCCTATTCTGAACAATTACATTTTTTCATATACTCTCTATATGAACAAATGGAACAATGTTGGTTAATTCTGGAATGTAGACTCAGTACCCTTATATTTACATAATTTGCGCATACTACCCCAAAACAATATGATCAAGAATGAAATCTAACCCAGAAAAGAAAAATCCTTACCTGTGCCATGACCAAGAGTAATTCTGACAGCAGTAAGCGCAGTCTTCTTGTGGGATCCGAACACTCAAACTCAAGTGCCAGTCCATTGGCCAGGTTCTGAACAAGGACACTCTCATTTTGGCTTCCACCTCCAAGTTTTTGTCTGAAAAACAAAATTGTAACTGTCAAACCTCATAAACATTAAAGACAAAATTAAGATGTCAGTGCTGTAAAGTAACCTATCTATCAATCTTTTTTTTTTTTTCTTTTTTTTTAAATAATGATCTACATACATGGCCGAATGCATATACCTATAGTCCAGCTTCCTCCTCAAGTCAGAGTGGCTAGGTAACTTATGAACAAGGATACTACCATATAATCAATAGACCCCCTTGGCTTATTTCTTCTTGTAACAGAGGCATATGCATCATGGGATAAATTGGCATTTTCTGCAGTTTACATAAAACACTCCTACATATAATTTTGCTTGCTGCAAACATACATAAGACATTTGATAATGACATTACCGACGGATTATCAGTTCATGAATATCTACTGAACATTAACCAATATCAATTCATTAGGTATCTCAATAATATATAATTAAATATGCATTATTTCCAATGTTAACCAAGTATGAAATGTAGTGTCCATGAGCCATGACTGGAAGAATGACGGCTCCAGAGAAAACATCCTTTTTATGCTCAACATCGTATTCATAGCTGCCAAGACTTGGAGCATAGGCTGTATTACAGAAAATTTAATATTACAGAAAAAAAAACACATAATAACAAAATGATACTTATTCTAGCATTGAGTTACAGACAACCTAGAGAGATGATATGGAGTCTGTGTAAGGAAAACAGTCCATTACCATCAGGATAAAGCAAATTAAATGACAAATATAAACATTTGCTAATAGCAAAAAAAAAAAAAAAAAAAAAAAAAAAAAAAAAAAAAAAAGAAAGTTAAAACCACTTACATATAAAAAGAGAAAGCAAAATTGCAGAAAAGAGGCTTAGAGTCATGTCACACAAATGTTCGCAAGCATCCATCCTACAAACGACACACCCATCAGAGTAGCCATTCTTTATAAAGGGATGAAATAGCCAAAGAAAATTTTTCAAGTGCTTCTCCAAAAAAATGCATGCTGTGAGTGATACTGTTGGCTATTTAAAAAATGGAGAAAAAAAATTTACTTTACAGGAGTCAATTCCCCCCCCACCTATAGGGAGAATGAAGACATTCAAATGAACATTAGCAATAATATGGCTCTCTTGCAAAAACAATTGAAAATCTGTGGTTTAGAGTACCATAAATAAATAAATAAATTAATAAATAAATAAATAAATAAATAAAAATTAATAAAAAAAAATAATAAATAACATCAGCAATAACAAAAATAATAACAATAACATCAATATTAACAATAATAATAATAATAATAATAAATAATAATAATAATAATAATAATAATAATAATAATAATAATAATAATAATAATAATATAATAATAATAATAATAATAATAATAATAATAATAATAATAATAATAAAATAATAATAACAACAAAACAACAACAACAACAATAACAATAACAACAACAACAACAATAACAATAACAATAATAACAATAATAACAATAATAACAATAATAATAATAATAATAATAATAATAATAATAATAACAACAATAATAATAATAACAATAACAATTATAACAATAATAATAATAATAATAATAATAATAATAATAATAACAACAACAACAACAACAACAACAACAGCAGCAGCAACAACAACAATGATAATAATAACAATAACAATAACAATAACAATAACAATAACAATAATAATAATAATAATAATAATAATAATAATAATAATAATAATAATAATAATAATAATAATAATAATAATAATAATAATAATAATAATAATAATAACAACAATAATAATAATAATAATAATAATAATAATAATAATAATAATAAAAATTTGTTTTTCTGTTTCTCAATTTTTCTTGTCCAAAGACATCAATTTTCCTCGATATGCCACAAGACTTCCAAACTACAACTGCAGATCATGATATATCTATCATGACTTACTCTCTGCCAGTTAGACCTGTCATATTATACTGTAGAAGAGTACATCAGTAAAAGGTATATGACAAATGCTGTGCAGGGAGTAAGTCTATGGTAATCATGTGGGAGTCTCCCAGGTTGGAAAACAGTGACTCCAACCATGAGTCGCAGCTATGATCATTTTTGCTCGCACTCAAATTTTGGTTAATCTTTACGGTATGGACGCACTAAGTTAAGGCAAATTGAATATTAAGTTATTGTAGAGGATAAAAGTTGCAGTCATTGGTACAAGCAATAATTTGCAAACATGAACGGTAATGCCACAAATAAAGGTAAAATATCGCTGAAAGTGGCACTCTCAGCCGTACTCCCAAGTTTCAACTCTATCTTGCCATGCAAAGCAAGGTGAAAACAATGTTTCCCAAGAGGTGTTGGGGCTGTCCTCTGGCAGATGCCTAGTCACAGCAACTTAGATTGATGAATAAATTTTTTGATGTGGAGTATAGAATTACCCAATTTTCTTTCTTGCAGATATTTGAATTCCAACATAAACAAAACAAAAATAAAACAGAGTCCATCCGCACTTAAAAACATATATGAATACCCACTTAATTATTGGCACTTCAGAACATTCTTATTAAAAGTAAAAAACTATCGCTGCAGTTCACACCATAAAAGCCCTATCACACGAGCACTTTTTCCGTCAATTTCTGGGGTTCTGTCTGAATTTGAAGCTTTCCACAAGGATCGTCTACAAACGGAACGCCTCCCAGACCAAGAGAGTTACGACTGTTTCCATCTGACTAATTTCCGTGTTGATCTTTTGCTATTAATAAATTAGATAGGATGAGTGAATGTAAACATAAGCTAATATTTTAGAATATTCGTATATACAATATACATCATCATATTTCTTTAAAATAACGTAACATGTATGAGAATATTTGTGTGATTCCCAGGACCTCACTCCGATAGCGCCATGTTTGTTTACATGATTTTCATACGGAGTTCATTCGGAAACGCAAAAAATTGACAGAAAAAGTGCTAGTGTGATAGGGCCTTTAATGTCTTTTGCTCAAAGGTCGCAGCCTACAAATTATCATTGGTCACTAAAAGGAAATCCACTGATTTCAATGATTCTTGGTGTTGTTTCTTGTGCAAATGCTTTGTTGAGGATATCTGAGTACCATTTTCATCGACACTTAATTTGTTAGTCCCGATAGCTAGAGAGGGCATGAAATATATTAGGAAATATATCCGTGAATCCTCCTGTCTAAACCTGCAGCCGGAAACACACAAATGCGTATGCACAAAAAGTCCTTCAGATCAAATCTCGTAAAAAGCGGTTTAATAAATCTTAAAACATGTAATAGAGGTATAATAACATTAATAAGCAAAGCATAAATGTGGAACGGCAGATACTGATGATTAGCAAAATACTATTTTGACAATCGTGTAGTAACACATGAACTACTTCACACATTGCAGTAATGAGTTCTGTGGTCAGTCCAATATTTACTCTCAACATGAAAACAAGATGATTGACTAAGCCTAAATTGGGCTCACACCTCTGTGTATTTATGAATAGAACCTTAGGGAAGCATTTGCACAAATATTACCATAGAAGAAACGTGTCTTGGTTGTTATCAGTCTATCGAATTATACAGGCTTTATCTCCCAACTCAGGCACTACCTCGTTCCACATATTGTCCGGAAAGTGTTTGATTGATATGGCGATATTTGTGGGTTTCCCAGGAGTGATTGGAGTAATAATCTTTAATCTCAGAGGGGTGAGGTATCTTCACAATTACCAATGCTTTCACTATCATTACCAATGAAAGCTAACAAAAGATTCACGCATATTACACTGAAATAACTGAAACAAGGAATAATAACTGCAAGGTTGGACGACTGTGTGAAACTACAAAATTACCAATCAACTTCCCAGTGAACAAAACCCTTCATACCTCAGCTGCTGTTCCTTCTTCACGTCAATCTCCAACGCAGGGAAGTCAATGGAAAGGAGAGCCACGAGGGAATTAACCACCTCAATTCCCGAGAGGATCCTGAGGATGACTTTCCTGCCTGCAATGCATTCCTCGGAGTGGTCCAGGGGCGCGATCAAGCTCATCCTCACCAGGCATGGCAGGATGGCCCTTATTTCCTCCTCGCGACAACATGCTAGAGTGTGGATGTCGGATTTTTCTATAGCTTTGAACACTCTAGGGGACACTGGGCTGGTCACCGGCATGATGAGGTGAGATTGTGAGGGAGAAAACGAGGAAAAGGAAGAGAATTTTTCAGTCTCTTGCTCCTTCCATCGCGATTGTTTACAGTCTGAGACTCTTTGCGGTGGTGCCACGTCTGAGGATTTTTTTCCCGGTGGTGCCATGTCTCTGGTTCCTTG